GTTGAGCAGGACATTAAACTATAACACGACTAACAATAAGAACGTCCATTAGCTTTCCTCTCGTATATAAGCAAAGCAGTTAATTACCAAGGTATTTTCTTATCGTTATGGAAATCCATTTGTCTTAAGATACGTTGGTAACTTGTGTGTGTGTGTTTTTTTTTTTTTTCATTTTGTATTCTTATCTTGTTTTTGTGATTTTGGTCCATTTCAGATGTCTGCTGCACGCGCTCTTCTTTTGCTGATATTTGGATTTACCATGCTGAAGTTCATCTGCTGTTACAGTGATGGAAGTTTATTGACCGACCAGTGTCAAAGTATGGCTATAGATCATGGAGTTCAAGCATCAGGACAAGATTCAAACCCTTTCACCGTCATTCCAGATAACGTGACCGTGAACAGTTCGCAAGTGGGAACGGGCATTACAGGTAGAATCTAAAGTGTTTAAATGTACAATTATGCATATTAGAAGCTTTCATCCACAAGCGGGGACAGCAGGGTACTATGTAACACTTTTTGGTTTTAAGAAAATAATGAACAAAGTAATGGGGTCAAGCAAACCAACTCTTTTTATGCAACAAAATAAAATAAACATATAATACTATGATCATTCATTACGAAAGTAGAAAGATAGCTACTGTTTTAAAATTTACGGTAACACTATAAAATATCAGTACGTGAATTATGATGTATTAATATGTAAACTAAACATTACTTTATTATGAATAAATCAATGATGAGTTAAGGCACTCTCTAATCATGAACTAACTTAACTAGCATAATTCACATGAGTTCATGTGTAAATAACGACCACCTTAATTACTTCTTAGCACATGTTGTTAATTAATGTATAAATTAACATTTAAGTTTAGGCTAAATGTAACCAACATGAACTCAGGAGCTGTTAATGTATAATTACATCAATGAACTGCAGTGTTTAAACTGTTCATGTTGATGTTGACTGAAAACTTTTCTATTATTATTCCATGTAGACCCAGATGGACGTGCAAGAAGAGTTCATGAGCGGATAAAAATGGGTTAATGATGATGTGCCCCTCTAAGTAGTAATGACATAATTATATATTATCAGCTTTCGAGTTAATGATGGTAAATTAAGTATAAACTAATGTGGTATAATACATTAAGTAAAAAACAATCATGTACTAACAAGTAATTGAGGTAGCTGTTATTCTCATATGAACATGTGACTAATGTTGTAGTTAAAGTTAAATCATATAGTGCATGCATCAACTCATTATCAGTCAATAATAGAGTTATTGACTCTAAAAGTAGTTTAGTTTACATATTAACACATCATTATTCATGTACTGTTATTGTAAAGTGTTACCAAATTTACTTTAATGTTGAAACAAAAACATTCACAGATTGGTCATTTTCTTTCACATTTCTTATACAACAACATTAAAGTACACAATTTATCTCACACACTGTGCAAATGATTTAAATTGTGTCCTGCTACAAATACAGGTTTAAAAGGTCTCATATACACTAAATGCTGATGTCACATATTGCTCTATATAGTAATTTTGCCAAATGATTTGATTGTAGCTTCATCAGGACAGGTTTTTCAGGGGTGGGGATTCAGATTTGTCAGGGGAGTCAGATTTCAATTGCCTACAACACTTTGACCGATCGTTTATGTCTATCGCCAAACATGCAGAGTAAAAATTATACTATTTACCCAATCTGCGGAGTTAGTTGGCTTATGGCTTGCAGTATGACTTGCAAACAAGCCCTTTTTAGGATTTAAATTATCATAGACTTTTTCCAGAGCTCTGGTACTGTTTGCATATCGACAGAGAGCTGGAAAAGCAAATCCAAGGCTGGTGTGAGCTCCTCAGCAAATGTTTTAAAAAGAAAACATGTTATGCCATCAAGTGCCATTGCCTTGTTATAACATAAATATTTAAAAACCATTTTAACATCTCCTTGATATATTAACATCCTATTTTAAAACATATTGCAATTTACTTTTCCTAAAATTTCTTCACATTCTTCCAAAGTATCTGTCTCAAATCTCATATAAAAATGATTCAGTTCATTTACCTTAACAGTTTTATTACAGGCAAATAATGAATTCTTTGTTGTCATGTTTGTCATTCTCCAAATCGAGTTCCAGAGTTCTTTTGTATTGGATTTTAAGAAATGTTGTTCAGCCTGTTTTTAATTTTGTATCTTTGCAATCCTTATCTCCCTATTAAGGTTCTTGTGTGCTACTCTAAGCCCCAATGAATCACCCGACTTAAAGGCCAATTTCTACCTTTTGATGCAGTCATTAATTTCCCCTGATATATGCGGTTTGTCCATGCAGAAGGAAAAATATATGCTGTGATAGTTTCAGTAACATTATCTATATTTTAGTCCTGATAATCCATGCAGAGGAAACATCCTTTGAGCTCCTCTATACTTTCATTATGTCTTATGTTCTTATGTCTGGTTTTAGCAACATAAGCATCCCTAATATTGCTTCACACTTCACATATTGAAAAAAAAACGGGTAAGATTTCTCCAGTCCACACTGATTAAAACCACGAAGGATCAAAAAGAGTAAATCAAGTTTATTTTGCAAGTGCTTATGAACACAATAGATCAGCTTATGAATGAGTGCTTATGAACATAATATTTGGTTTGCTGCTCTAATAGCAGTCCCACTAGGTGGAATATACACTGCACTAACAAACATGTTAGTAAATTCCCTCTGCAAATAAAACAGACATAATGTAACATAATAGTTCCAGATCATGGTTGCAAATGCTTTTTTGTCGCAAAATTTCGTCACCAGCGATCATGATATAGATACAGAACCCTCACCCTTATGTCTTACCAGAGTTCTCATCTTTGTCCAAGTGTAGATTGGAAAAACCATCGATTTGAATCAAACTAGTGAAAGTGAGTAAAGTCTGAAAGAATGACAAACTATCCCTTTAACACAACTATGACACACCTTTTTTAATCTCTCACACTTACACAATTGTTTCATGCTATTGAATTTAATATTGATTTATTTGAACCATGTTAAATCATCAACCAATAAATTATTTTACATTTATTCTGGCATACGCTCACTTTTAGGAAGCTTACTACACGAAGCTTTTTTAATGAGACCCCTTGCAGACATGTGAGATGGATGAGAGAACATTCATTCATTCATACACATTATTTTCGACTTGGTCCCTTTATTAATTAGGGGTCGTCACAACAGAATGAACCGACAACTTATCCAGCATTTGCTTTGCGCAGCGGATGCCCTTCCATGTGCAACCCAGTACTGGGAAACACCCATACACTCGTGCATTTACACACATACACTATGGCAAATTTAGCTTACTCAATTCACCTATAGTGTATGTCTTTGGACTGTGGGGGAAACCCATGCCAACACAGGGAGAACATGCAAACTCCACACAGAAATGCTGACTGACCCAGCCGAGTATCGAACCACTGACCTTCTTGCTGCGAGGCGATCACACCCACTGCTTCACCGTGACACCAATGAGAGAGCATGAATAAATAAATATTTCAAAATAAATTACAGCACAAAAGAGAGGAACATATTTAGTTTCTCTATTAATTTTGCCTGTTAGTTCATGGTTATATTTTCATGGCTAAACTTTAGCTAGGCGACTTGGTGGTACAGTAGAAAGTACTGTTGCCTCACAACAAGAAGGTCGCTGGTTCGAGCTTAGGCTGAGTCAGTTGGCATATCTGTGTGGAGTTTGCATATTCTCCCCGCCTTCGTGTGGGTTTCCTCCAAGAGCTTCGGTTTCCCCCACATTTCAAAGATGTGGTGTAGGTGAATTGGTTAAGCTAAATTGTCCATATTGTAAGTGTGTAAATGATGTATGGATATATGGGTGTTTCCCAGTTATGGCTTGCAGCTGGAAGGGCATCCGCTGCGTAAAACATGTGCTGGATAAGTTGCCGGTTCATTCCGCTGAGGCAACCCCAGATTAATAAAGGGACTAGACAGAGACAGAGTGCACACAAGAGAGGCCGAGAGAATATTAAGGTTACTATTATTAATTATCACTATTACTAATACTACTATGTTTACTAATTTGTTTCTGTGGGTTCTATTTAATGTAAAAATGAAACATGCTTTGTTAATACGATTGTAACATTTGTCAAGTTATAATTTAAGAGAATTTTTATTAAATTATCTTAATTTTTTTAAAGATAATTAGAGCAGTTTTGCTAAATTAAAAATGTTGCTTATAACTCTGTGTCCTAGTTGAAAAAATACTAAACATAATCATGCAAATAAAAAATAAAAATAAAAAATGGATTAATATCTTAAAAATATGCATTTATACTCAAACAAGTATTAAACTTTGAACAGATATGTTGATCACCATTAAATATAGGCCACTATTATATTTAAAAATGTAATAATTTGGGTGAATCAGTGGGTAGCGTCGCTGGTTCAAGCCCAGGCTGGGTCAGTCAACTAAGTTGGCCGTAGTGTATGTGTGTGAATGAGTGTGTATGAGTTTTTCCCAGTGATGGGTTGCGGCCGGAAGGGCATTCGCTGCGTAATAACTTACACTGGATAATATGGATTTAATAAATCATTAGGCCTTTAATATAATAAACTGATACATTATCTTTTCTTGCTATGGGTTTAATCAAAGACTATAAAATATTATAAAGGGACTTTGGTTTTATTCAGAATTTTAAAAAAAAACAAAGTTTTTTTAATCATCCAATTATTAAACAATGTTAGAAAACATTCACTGCAAAGCTTTCACAAATTCAACAGGAGAGAAAATTCTGTAAACTCGCTGATGTAATGACAGCTCCAATCATTGTTATTGCAGCGCTTTTACAGTAGGACACTGCAGTTAATGAAATTTAATATTACATGTCCCCTAAACATCTGGGAAAATTAAAGGGCACCAATGGTGAAAAATCTACTTTTTAAGCTGTTTGGACAGACGTGTGTAAGTATAGTGTATAGACCGTCATATTGGGGTGATATAAACACACCCAGTCCTTTTTTTTCAATTTAACAACATAAAATAGTGGATCAATTGGAGCGGTTTTGAGAGCGACCGCAACTTGACGTAGGAGTGCGGTCCCCCCGCCCACCAATATTGATTGACAGCCGCGCGTCACAATCATATCCTCAGTTTCTTATGGGTTGCAACTGAAATCTGCAGGAAGGTGGATCTCCAGGAACAGGGTTGGCCACCCCTGGTCTACGCTATATTTCCTACTATAGTCTACGCTACAGGAAAGATGTAGTTTAATGCTTTAAACTTGTTGTCTTTTCAAACTTGTCAGTAAAAATGTTTAACTCTTTTCCACAGTGACACTCTCGACTTCTTCTGTTCCATTTTTGGGCTATATGTTGGAGGCCCGTGAGTGTGATAATTGTCCACCTGCTGGTACATTTAGTGGGATTGACTCGGCCAACAGTCTGCTCCTATGTGGTGTAAGTCCTGCCAACCACCTGTACATAAGTTGGTTTTTGTGATTTATGAGGACTCTCCATAGGTGTAATGTATTTTTATAGCCTACTGTAAACCTCACAGGAGACATGTGGCAAAATATGAATGTGACAAATCCCTGTTAGCTATAATTTTAAACAGTTTTATCACAGAGCATGTCCTCGTAAACCACCTCAACAATGTAATACCTAGTTCCCCTTCGGGGGGAACTTCAGCACTATAAGTGTATTTGATGTTCTAAATCCACGTATGGGAGGATTCGGTTCAGAAGCCGCTCGTCTGAAAGAGTATTGAACGGGCCAATGAAAGCAATGAATTGGCAGCGCAATTTTGCGCAGGTGTGCTGCATCGCCAATTAACTGAGCATATAAGCACACCTGGCGCTAGCAAACGCTATCCTTTTCGCTTCAGAGACTTTTCTGATTGAGTTTATGAGGGTTCCTCCTGCTGATCTACAGCCACTTCGAGCGAACGAGTGTCTCCCGGTCCAGAGCGAGTCCACGCAGCGGCAGACGGTCGAGCTGGGTTTCTCCCTTGCCTGGCATTCCTTTGGGTCTGGTCCTCCAAGAGCGGTGCGTATTGCTGCAAAGCATCCTAAAAGAGCAACACAGTCGTGCAGCACGTCCTTTTCAGGATGGCGCTCCGACTGTGCGTTTCTGGTTGCGGGGGTTTCCTGGCTCCGGATGATGGGCACGATCACTGCATTACATGTTTGGGGGTCCAGCATGTTAATGTGGTGCTCGGGGGAGGTTCATGTCGTCACTGCGATGCCATGACCGTTGCGCAGTTGAGATCGCGGTTAGCTTTCGCAAGAGAGCGAGCCACCCCAGTCGCCTCCTGCTCTGCAGCGGGCGCTCGGGCAGATCTGAGGGCTCCAGCGAGAGATAATCCGCCGCCTAAGGGCTCGCCGACCTCTCGCTCCTCCAATCGCTCCATCTAAGCTTCGGGTGCACAGTAGGCTCACGCAGTCCTGGAGGGCACCTTTCTCTGCCCGCACTGCGTCCGCCTCCGCCCTCACCACCCTGGATGATGGAGCTGCCAAGGGGTATGAGGCGATCCCGCAGGTGGAGCGCCATTGCGGTCAATCTTTGTCCGCGTGGCGCCCCCACTTTGCGCGGTCCGCCCCGTCTCCCGTCCAAAGCCTGTAGGTTATCTGCCTCCCTCGGAGCTAGAGCTTACAAGGCTGCGGGCCAGGCAGCTTCCGCCTTGCACGCGATGGCCACCTACCAGCGCTACCAAGCGCAGGCGCTGGCCGAGCTGCACAAGGGTGGGTCTAACCCAGGCTTGTTACACGAGCTGCGCACGGCGACCGACTATGCTCTCCGGACCACTAAGTCCGCCGCGTGCGCACTGGGGAAGACGATGTCCACACTTGTGGTCCAGGAACGCCACCTCTGGCTAAACCTGGCAGATATGCGCGATGTTGACAAAGTTCGCTTTCTTGACTCGCCCATATCCCAGGCTGGCCTGTTCGGCGACACCGTCGGTGAATTCACCCAGGAGTTCAAGGCGGTGAAGGAGCAGTCGGATGCAATGGGCAATGTCATCTATCGGCGGGGCCGTAAGCCCGCTCCATCCCCTGCCGAGCCATCCACCTCCGCTGCTCCTCGCCGGGGGCGAAGCGGGCGCGTCTAGCACGCCGAAAGCCGGTAGCTCCTCCTGCCCAGGGCGCTGCTAAGTCCGGTAAACGAACCGCGAAGCGTCCCTGAGACAGGCCATCCGGAGAAGAGGAGACTTGCTCTTTCCCCGCTGGAGGGCGGGGCCCATATTCCAACGGTACTTTTCAGTGCCACCAAAGTTTCAAACAAAGAGCATTTTTCCCCTTCCCCAGATGTGACAGCTCAAGCCCTGCCAGTCTGGGACGCGCTGCCTCTCAGCTCGCAGGGTCTGCATGCTCCGCCAGCGGCTCTCGGGCGCTGGGGGGACCGTCTCCCTTCTCCCAGCCCCCAAGCCCCCTCTCCGGAGTCAGGGTGCGGAGCCAGAGCGAATCGCTCTCCTCCAGCTCTTCTGTGGGACCCTCGCGCTCCCCGGATCAGCACACCCGCTCCGCGCTGCCCCTCCGCGGGTGCATCAGCAATTGCTGCGATGACGTCATTAGCGAGGGCTCTACCTGCCTGGTTAGCGCGGGCCAGTCCCTTGCGGTGGCTTATACGTACGATCAGACTCGGCTACGAACTACAGTTCTCAAAACGGCCTCCCAAGTTCACGGGCGAGTATTTCACCAGGGTCAATCCCCTGTCCGCCCCTGTCTTGCGAGAGGAGATTGCTGCCCTCCTGGCGAAGGGTGCAATCGAGCCAGTACCTCCAGCCAAGATGGAGAGCGGGTTTTACAGCCCGTACTTCATCGTACCCAAAAAGAGCGGTGGGTCACGGCCAATCCTAGATCTGCGCGTTTTGAATCGCTGCCATCACAAGCTGTCGTTCAGAATGCTTACGCAGAGGCGCATCCTCCGATGCGTTAGTCCTCAGGATTGGTTTGCAGCCATAGACCTGAAGGACGCGTATTTTCATGTCTCCATTCTTCCACGCCACCGTCAGTTTCTGCGGTTTGCGTCGAAGGTCGAGCATGGCAGTACAAGGTCCTCCCCTTCGGTCTCTCTGTCTCCGCGGGTCTTCACCAAACTCACGGAGGGTGCCCTAGTGCCCCTGCGGCTCGCGGGCATCCGCGTACTCAATTATCTCGACGAATGGCTGATTTTAGCCCACTCTCGGGAGCAATTGACTGCGCACAGAGACGAGGTGCTCCGGCATCTCCGCCTATTGGGGTTGCAGGTCAACTGGGAAAAGAGCAAACTCGCCCCGGTGCAGAGGATCTCTTTTCTCGGAATGGAGCTGGACTCGGTCACCATGGTAGCGCGCCTCTCCGGAGAGCGCGCTCGCCTGCTGCTGAACTGTCTGAGGGAGCTGGACAGCAAATTAGTGGTCCCACTGAAATATTTTCAGAGGCTCCTGGGGTATATGGCTTCTGCTGCGGCGGTCACGCCGCTCAGATTGCTCCATATGAGACCACTTCAGCACTGGCTTCAAGATCGAGTTCCAAGACGTGCATGGCATGCGGGCACACACCGAGTCTCTGTTACTGCACTATGTCGCCGCACCCTCAGCCCCTGGAACGACCCCTCGTTCCTGCAGGCCGGTGTGTCTCTGGGACAGGTGTCCAGTCATGTTGTTGTCTCAACAGATGCTTCCAGCACAGGCTGGGGAGCCGTGTGTCGCGAGCATGCAGCTGCGGGCCTGTGGGTAGGTGCCCAGCTGCATTGGCATATTAATCGCCTAGACCTGTTGGCAGTGTTCCTAGCTCTCCGCCGTTTTTCTCCGGTGCTGGAGCAGCAACACGTGCTGGTCAGGACGGACAGTACGGCGGCGGCAGCGTAGATCAACCGCATGGGGGGTATGCGCTCTCGCCGCATGTCTCAGCTTGCCCGCCGTCTGCTCCTCTGGAGTCACCCGCGGCTGAAGTCGCTGCACGCCATTCACATACCAGGTATGCTCAACCGTGCAGCCGATGTGCTCTCACGGCAGCAGATTCACTCTGGAGAATGGAGACTCCACCCCAAGTCTGTCCAGCTGATATGGGCGCGATTCGGGGAGGCCCAGATCGATCTGTTTGCTTCCCCCGAGAACGCTCATTGCCAGTTGTTTTATTCCCTGACTGAGGGCTCTCTCGGCACGGATGCACTGGCCCTCAGCTGGCCTCGGGGCATACGCAAGTATGCGTTTCCTCCTGTGAGCCTGATCGCGCAGTTACTGTGCAAGGTCAGGGAGGACGAGGAACAGGTTCTGTTAGTTGCGCCCCTCTGGCCCAACCGGACCTGGATATCAGAGCTCTCCCTACTCGCGACGGCCCTCCCATGGCAGATCCCTTTGAGAGAGGACCTACTTTCTCAGGGACAAGGCACCGTCTGGCACCCTCGCCCCGATCTCTGGAACCTCCACGTGTGGTCCACAGACACGAGGAAGACTTAGGTAACCTGCCGCCCGCGGTGGTCGATACCATCACTTAAGCTAGAGCCCCCTCTACGAGGCGCGCCTACGCCCTGAAGTGGAGTCTATTCACTGAATGGTGTGTCTCTCGCAGAGAAGACCCTTGATCTTGCCAGATCAGTGTTGTGCTCTCTTTCCTTCAAGAGAAGCTGGATAGCAGGCTGTCGCCCTCCACTCTCAAGGTTTACGTTGCCGCCATCTCCGCTCACCATGACGCGGTGGCTGGCGGCACCGTGGGAAAGCATAACCTCATCATCCGGTTCCTCAGAGGCGCTAGGCGAATTAATCCAACTCGCCCCCCTCTCACGCCCTCTTGGGATCTCGCCCTAGTTCTCATGAGCATGCGATTTGATCCCTTCGAGCCACTCGATACAGTATCCTTAAGATTTCTGCCCCTGAAGACAGCTCTGCTGGTCGCGTTGGCCTTCATTAAGAGGGTCGGGGACCTAGAGGCTATTTCGGTCAGTGACTCGTGCCTGGAATTCGGGCCGGATTTTTCTCATGTTATCCTGAGACCCCGCCCGGGTTATGTGCCCAAAGTTCCTACCACTCCCTTTAGAGATCAGGTAGTAACCCTGCAAGCGCTGCCCCCGGAGAAGGCAGACCCAGCCCTTTCCTTACTTTGTCCAGTTCGCGCTCTGCGCATTTATGTGGACCGTACTCAGTCCTTTAGATCTTCTGAGCAGCTCTTTGTCTGTTATGGCGGACGGCAGCAGGGAAGTGCCGTGTCTAAACAACGATTATCCCACTGGATTGTGGAGGCCATTTCATGTGCTTATTTGAGCAGAGGTCAGCCGCGCCCCCTGGGAGTGCGTGCGCACTCCACTCGGAGCGTTGCATCCTCTTGCATCCACTCATCTGTGACGTGTGCAAAAGATGGCGCCTGTGTGTTTGTCGGCATGCCGTTTGCCTCGTCAATTTTTAAATGTCTGTTCGGCAACCATTCTATCAGTGCTTTTTCTTCTCTTATTCATGAGCTGCGTTGATGCATTAATTTCATATGATCGCCAAGCACTGTTAAACATTAGAGGTTTGTTGGAGAATCAACCCAGAGACTGCTCCATAACACATGACTACTGCTATTCATCGTTTCCTTTTCCCACGGCCGCGTTTGTTCGCCGGCTTCCGTGCTGTCTAATCTATCAACGAAAACGTCGCAGAAGAAGAGGAAATCGCGGAGGTGTCCGGGTGAGGATGAGGAAGGAAATTTCTATTTCATTGGCTCTACATACTGCGTGCTCATTTGTACCTACGTATGGTCACCGCGGTTTGCACCCGGCTCGACGCTCGTGGGACGTGAGATACACCTGTCACTTGCCTATCTTCCCGGACAAACGGCAGCTGGCCGAATTCGGAGCTCCTCCACGGGTGCGCATCCGACGTAGGGGCGTAAATCTCCAACACATCAAATCACTGGATTATGTTCATCAGTCAGATCTACAAGTCATTTCCCACATCAACATGGCTTTGTTGAACGCTAGATCTGTGTCCAATAAGACATTTATTTTGAATGACTTTTTTACAAGCCACAATTTGGACTTCCTTTTTTTAACTGAGACCTGGATTGGAGCGGGTGAGTCCTCTGTGTTCGGTGAACTTTGTCCTTTAAACTGTTCTTTTATCAGCACTCCTAGATGTATTGGGAAAGGAGGTGGGGTGGCTATGGTTTTTAGAAACTGGTTCAGATGTCGGACTATCTCTGTCGGGGACTTCACTACATTTGAATCCCAATGTGCTCTGATAGAATCGGATACCACTCCTTTTCTGTGTGTTCTGGTTTACAGGCCTCCTAAGCCTGATAGAGGTTTCATAAAGGAGTTTTCTGAATTTGTTTCTCATATAATCACATCTTATGATCGTTTATTAATCTTAGGGGATTTTAATATTCACGTGTGCTGCCCTGGAAAGCCTTTGGTAACTGAGTTTATGCATGTTTTGGATTCTTTTGGATTTACTCAGCATATTGTTTGGTGCTACACATGCACTAGGCCACACTTTGGACCTTATAATGTCCTACGGGTTTTCCATAGAAAATATTGTCATTGAAGATGCCTCCTTCTCAGATCATAAGCCTATTGTTTTTAACACTACTCTATCATATTTCTCTGGTACTACAAAAAGTGAAGGTTTTCACTCTCGCTGCATAAACTCTCTCACTGCAAATCAGTTTTCTACTATGTTTAATAGTAACAAAGTGTCTACAGCAATATTAGCTGCTGCTGAGCATTCCTCAAGTCCTGATGATTTAATTTCTCTTTTTAATTCTTCTTGTTCAGATATCTTAGACTGTGTAGCTCCTTTAAAATATAAGTATCCAAAAATGAAATCACAGCCATGGCTGGATGATCTCTCTCGCTCACTCAGACAGATTTGTCGTAAAGCAGAACGGCGCTGGAGAAAAGATCACCTTGTTGTCTCTCTTGAAATCTTTAGAGATGCACAAGTAAACTTTCAAAAAGCAGCAAAAAAGGCTAGAGCTACATACTTTTCAGACATTATTAATAAACATTCACACACCCCTAAAATTTTATTTGACACAATTAACGCAATAATTTCTCCACGTACCTCATGCAAAATTGAGCAGTCATCAGAGATATGTGAGAGATTTAAAAGGTTCTTTACTGAGAAGGTAGCTGATATCAGATCCTCTTTTGCCCCTCTCTGCCCTAGTTCCTGTGTGGACTCGACAGTTTCTTCAGCTACCTTCTGTAATTTTGAACCAGTGTCTCTCTCTGAGTTGAGGGGTCTAGTGTTTCAGACAAAAACTTCAACTTCGCCGTGTGATCCTATTTCCTCTAATCTTTTAAAGGAGACTTTCAACACAATAGGTTCTAGTATACAAGCAATTATTAATTCCTGCTTAGTTTCAGGCACTGTCCCTGCGTTTTTAAAGCATGCAGTTGTCCAGCCATTGCTTAAAAAACCCAATGCAGATATAAATTGCTTAAATAACTTCCGTCCTATCTCTAAACTTCCATTTATGTCAAAGGTTCTAGAAAGAGCTGTCTTATCACAGCTACAGCCTTTTTTTAAATCGTCCCATAAACTTGAACCTTTACAGTCAGGTTTCACTATGCACCACAGTACTGAAACCGCTCTGTTAAAAGTGTGGAATGACTTACTGCTGTCGGTAGATTCAGGCAGTAATGCAGTTTTGGTTTTACTAGATCTGAGTTCTGCTTTTGATACAGTTGATCATACCATACTTCTGTCACGTCTGGAACATTGGGTGGGCATAAAGGGTTCAGCACTTCAATGGTTTCAGTCATATCTGAAATCCAGGTCTTTTTCAGTTTCTGTTGGCCAATTTATGTCAACATCTGCCCCTCTTCTGTGTGGTGTCCCCCAGGGCTCTATTCTGGGTCCAATGCTCTTCAACTTATATATGCTTCCTCTTGGTAATATTATAAGGAAACATAACATATCTTTTCATTTTTATGCAGATGACTCTCAGCTGTATGTTCCTTTAAAATCTCAGAACTCCCTGCAGTCTCTAATTAATTGTCTTGAGGATATTAAATGTTGGATGGCAAAAAACTTCCTTCAACTTAATAATGACAAAACTGAAGTTATTCTCTTCGGCCCCTCAAAAACAAGAATGTCGTATATTGGGGGCTTGGGAAGTCTTGCACCGTATGTTAAATCGCAAGTAAAAAATCTAGGTGTTATCTTTGATTCTGAGCTTTGTCTAGAAAAACAAATTAGCTCAGTGGTTAAGAATAGTTATTATCAGCTGAGGATCATCTCCAGACTCAAATCCATTCTTTCCTTTCAAGATCTGGAAAAGGTCATACATGCTTTTATCACGTCCCGCCTAGACTATTGCAATTCTCTATATGTTGGTCTCCCCCAATCCTCATTGGCACGGTTGCAGTTGGTTCAAAATGCGGCAGCTAGACTTTTAACAGGCACCAAAAAACATGCTCATATCTCTCCAGTTTTAGCATCCCTTCATTGGCTTCCTGTTAATTTTAGAATTCAGTTCAAGATTTTACTTATTGTTTTTAAAGCACTGAATGGGCAAGCACCTTCTTATATATCAGAGCTTATTAACTTACAGTCAACTCCTCGGTCTCTTAGGTCCTCAAATAAAATTTTACTTCATGTTCCTCGGTCACGACTTAAACTGAAAGGGGATAGAGCCTTTGCAGTCGCTGCTCCTCGTTTGTGGAACCAGCTGCCACCGGATATTACACGTGCTTCTTCTCTCTCTATTTTTAAGTCCAGACTTAAGACACATTTTTATTCTATTGCATTCCCAGGCTTTTAATCTTTATTGTGGTTGTTGCTGTAATACTTTTATTCCTATTATTACTTTTATTGTTATCTTTTACTCTTTTAGAGTGTGTGCTATGGTTTTGTTCAGCACTTTGGTCAGTGCCAAACTGAAGTAAATGTGCTTTATAAATAAACTTTACTTACTTACTTACTTACTCTTGGGCGTGTGCACGCGGCGCTTCTTTAACAGACATTTGTAGAGCTGCGGGCTGGGCAACACCCAACACATTTGCAAGGTTTAATAATCTGCGAGTGGAGCCGGTTTCCTCAAGGGTGTTAGGGACCTTTGGTGATTGAGGAAACAACTCGGTGGGTGTTATAGCACGCTTGCGGTGCCTTTTTTCCCTAACACGGCGAGATGTGCACCCTCCTGTCTGTCAGTAAAGTTCCCCATTCGGTGAGCCCTGCAGATTCCTCCGAGGCCCCCAGCACTGACTCAGTGGAGGAGTCACTCGCTGGCCCACTACATTAGGTCAGCCCGCTGGTCAGCCCGCGTTTTTGGGTACAGGTGCCTGCTATGGACGATCCCCGCTGGTGATCCCCATATGCTTTTCCGCCACGGTTAAGTTCCCCCCTCTGGGTGGACCCGTGCTTTCCCTATCCGCTAACCACCTTCTTATGCACACTCCCCCTTCTCAGGGTTAGTCCATATGTATTTCCATTTGTTCCCTATTGGGTGCGGATGGTCTCCGCAGCGTCCTCCCTACTGGGATGGCACGCTTTCCAACGTACTGTCGTATATTCCTAGAATTATCTAGACGCTAGCGACTCCCAAATAAATATACCTATTCCGTAAAGCTTCTTTTGAAGTGGGGATAAGTTAGGGCCAAGGGCACGTTGGAGGACCGCGCCTCTCATGATTTGGGTGCGTCACGCTTGCCTGACTGCCCTCTCATGGTGAGTGTTGGTAAGGTCCAGTCATTATGGCGCTTTCAATGGACACCCATACGTGGATTTAGAACATCAAATCCACTTATAGTGCTGAAGTTCCCCCCGAAAGGGAACGTTCGAGGTTACTAAAGTAACCCTTTGTTCCCCGAGGAGGGGAACGGAAGCACTATACTCCGTCGCCATAATGACTGTCCCTTAGCTGTTAAAAGTCTCTTCAGCTTAAAAAGGATAGCGTTTGCTAGCGCCAGGTGTGCTTATATGCTCAGTTAATTGGCGATGCAGCACAATTGCGCAAGCTTGCGCTGCCAATTCATTGCTTTCATTGGCCCCTTCAATACTCTTTCGAGCGGCTTCTGAACCGAATCCTCCCATACGTGGATTTAGAACATCAAATCCACTTATAGTGCTTCCGTTCCTCTCCTCGGGGAACAAAGGGTTACTTTAGTAACCTCGAACGGTCATCCCTATGTTATTTTACAAATTTGTGTCCTCATAAACCACATAAACACGCACACACACACATCCTTTTACACTTTAACTCTTTCTTACAGGCTTCTTAGAGCAATTGTTAAATGTTAGCAGCTGTAAATTTTATAAACTAAAGTCAGGTGTTTATCTTATGTATTTATTAGGACCAGGCCGTGGCTCATCCCAATAACAACGATAAAACTTCAGTCCTAGTGACGTGGACTCCTCAAGCCACTGGACAGTTTTACTTCAGGTAAATTCTTGTGATGCTTTAAGGAAAACCAATACATACTTTACAGGTTGTCCAAAGCTTTTTAAATAAATTAAGTTTTCATTGTATTTTATATAATATTTTGCATTATGTGGAGATTAGCACTGTGGGTTACGGCGATCACTAGGCCCAAATTTATAAATTAGCTCTAGGACATAAATAAAGGGAAAATTATTCATGGTTTTATTGCAGTTTATACTGCTGGTTTGTAAATCTCATATCTGGTTTTCTTTTCAGAGCTGCATTTGTCCAAACTTTCAGTTTCGGTTGGCAAAAAAAAGCAATCATACTCCCAACGACAACAACATTGCCGCCGACAACACCAATGACAACATCACCGCTGGCAACAACCCAGTTAATGACACAGTCAATTATGCACACAATGACGCCGACAACCACACAGACAATGACGCAGACAACTACACAGACAATGACGCAGACAACGATGCAGACAACGACACAGAAAACAACATCGACACCGACCACGACACCTACAACGGTGCAGATGATGATGATGACAACAACCACTACAACAACTACTGACACCCCCGCTACTGTAACAACTAGGCATACAACAATAGGTAATAAAAAACATCCATATACATCAAAAGAATCAAAACTCTCAAACCCTCCACTAACAACTGTGTTTGAGTTCATTTCAGTTGAACACAAAATAATACATATTGAAAAATGATGGAAATCAGTAGCCTTTGAATTCTATATTATATTTTACTACAATGGATGTCAACGTCTACTTGCTTCCAGCATTCTTCAAAATATCTTGTTTTGTGTCCAATTAAAAATCTCAATGGCTTGAAACCACTTGAGGGTGCTACATTTCTTTCTTTCTTTTTTTCTTTCTTTCTTTCTTTCTTTCTTTCTTTCTTTACTGGTTGAAGTAGTATCTGAAACAGTAGCATTTCTGTATATTTTTTAATGTTTTATTGTGTATGCAAATCATTCACTTTCTCCTGCTTTCTCCTATTTAAAAGCACACACACAAACACTTAAACTCAAATGGAAACACACTCACGAATAAAGTGTCTGTTGCCAGTGCTACTTGTTATGCAAATCTAAATTTACATGACTTTCTGAAAGTAATGGTGTTCTTGTTCTTGAAGCAGAATATCTTATGGTTAGCATTGCTGCTGCAGGATACACACACACACACTCAAACTCTAATATCATTATTATTGAATGCATTATTAAGTGCAAGTCAGGTCTCTGTTACTAGCTATAAAAAAACATTTTGAAATTAACAGAGGCTATAGATGGACAAGTAACTATTACAAATTAATGTGATTAACTACTGAAAACCTGATAACATCTTGTATACAACTACTGAACATGTCTTGATCTGTGGCTGCCATACTTTAAGAGGAATAAATCACAATGGGAAACCTAATTAATTTAAAATGATGCACACTTGATGTAGTGATATGGCTACGACTCAGAGCACTTGATTTTAATTCTAAGTCCAATTTAATTTTAAGTCCAATATAGGAAAACTGATATCTTTACCTGATATTCAAAGATACTGGTCTTATGTTGATGTAGATTGTTGAAGAGAAAATAATTTTCTAGATATATGTATAAATGAAAGCAAGACTACTTTTTGTAATGTTCTCATCATGTCTCACAGACACATCCACTGCACCACCAACCTCTGCAGTCAACAGTACACAAACAGGTCTAACTGTATTCACAACACCAAACCTACAGGCTACAGGTAATTATTGTCTTCATATACAAAATCAAATGTATTAAGTAGATTTTTTTTAAGTAAGTAAATGTATTACCTAAAGAACAATCAAATAGAGAATTTTCCATTTCTGTGTGTCTACAGTCAGTATTATGCACAAACAGATCCAACTGCAAACACAACATCATTTACAACATCAAACACACACTCATATATAAAGAACATGATTAGCCCTTTGTGAAAATTGTATATTGTATATATTGTATGAAATACATTCTACAATTAATGATTGAGAGCAAGGACATTTTTACAGTATATCCTCTAATTATTTTTCTTCTGGAGAAAAATAATAAAATAAATAAATAAATAATAATAATAATAAAATAATAATAGTATTAATACTTTATGTGTTAACAATATTATTTACCCTCTTAA